GGCGGCCTTCTCAGCCGCGAGCTCGGCATCAATTTCTTGAAGGGTTTGGTCGAGGCTCTTGTCGGCTACAAGCACGTTTGATGTCGCCTTCTCAGGAGTAGCCTCTTTGGAGACCTCCTCATCCTGAGTTAAGTCTAGGACTTGCTCGTTTGGAGTAGGGGACTTGGCCCCAGTAGTTTCCTTCGACTTCCTCACCAAAGCTTCCTCCTCAGACTCAGAATCGTCTTCGGATTGGCTTGGAGTAGGGGGGAATGACAGGGGTAGAACATCGGCTTTCTTAAAAGGGAAGTCCTCAGGAACGTCAAGTTTTTTTAGAGCAACCATCCAACCAAGGGTGAAACCCTTGTTGCATACCTGCTTCACTTGTTTTTTATAATCCTCCTTGACGTCGGCCACCCCTTCTACGTATGCCCTCTCATCGACGGCCTTAATCTCGGCCTCCTTTGTGGCTAGGGCATCTTGGAGTTCTTTTTGGGCCTCGACCATCTTTGCCTCGGCCTCTTTCTTTTCAGCTGTGAGGACCTTGGCAATGGCCTCTGCAGTGTCAGCTTTCTCCTCAGTCGCGTCCTGAGCTTTTATAGCTGCCTCGGCTTGATCTGCCAAGGTCTTCATCTTGTCCTTGGCCCTATTGAGGGACTTTTGTAGAGCGGCGACCTCCCTGATTTTGTCGGCCAACTCCTTCCTCACCTCAAAGGCTTGCATTGAGAAGGAGTGGGCGTGTTGGATCGCCTGAAAGAGAATCAGTAGAACAAAAATTAGTAAAAATATTGTGAGTGTGAAAGAATGGAGAAAGAAAAATACTAAGTGTGGAAGACTTACTTGAATAGAGTGCTGGAGCATCAGAGCGAAGTTTTCGTACTCGCTCATCTTGGCATTTCGGTTTAGATCGTTTGGAAGGAGCAAAGCCGTTGAGAGGGCGACACCGACTTCAAGATCAGTCGCACTGTCGCCAGCTCTGACGGGCTTGTCCTCAATGGTGATCTGGGGGGCCCAGGGGGCATCTGCTTTCATGGGCCTCGACGTCGTGGCAGACTCGGACCTCGGCCTTTTTGACTGGGTTGACTGGGATGGTTCAGCCTCGGCAGGCCTTTTCTCAACAGCAGAAGGTGTTTTCTCGCTCGAAGCTAATTTTGAAATTGGCAAGGTGTTCTCAGTATCAATCTGAGTCACCGTTGCCTTTGGCTGAGCCTTCTTTATTCTTTTTGGCTTTGATTTTGGTGGAGGCTGGGACCGCGCTGGTTGGGCGTCTACGGTGGATGGAATGTCGGCCAGGAGATCCTCAGCGACTGCCTTCTTACGACCCATCTCGACAGGAATTACAGTTCGGCGTCGTCGTTGGCGTTGGGATGGCGGGATCAGCTGTGGAGTCGAGGTAGATGGTTGTTCTGCGGGATCTGAGGTTGACCCCTGATCTGGCCGAGATGATGAAGTTGTTAGTGGAGTTGTGGCGGAAGAAGGAGACTTGCTTTTCTGCTTCCTTGGGATGTCGAGAAGTACCGACTTGTAGGTCGGGATGAAGTTCAGCAGTAAAGGAGCTCTCCGCTTGTGGACTGACAGATCCAGTAACCTCTTAAGATCCTTGCTGGGGAAGAAGGACTTGTGAAAGCCCTTTGGTGGTTGTGGAAGAGCTGCAAGAGAAAACTGGGGTTAGAACATATAGAAAGAACAAAGCACCGAAAACTTGAAAAAACAAGTAAGTGTAACGCTTGGTTCTTACCATTACCCTCTACAAAAACTGTTCGGCTAAGAGGGTAGAGGTGAAGGCCCTCATCTGGAGCGAACTCCAAGTTGCCCGAGACAATGAAGTAATCGTCCCCGACTCCCTTGTTAGAGTCTGGGAGGTCGGCTACAAGTTTATATTCTGTGGACCTCGGCTTGAGGTAATAGACATAGCCTTTTTCTAGTTTTAGGTCACACATGGTGTAGCAGTATTGGACGTCAGCAAGGGTAACCCTAGCGTTCTCTTTTCTGGCTAAGGCAATAATACCATTGATAACTCGGTAGGAGTTAATGGTCAATTGCATCGGGTTGAGTTTGTAGTAGTGGAGGACTTCTCGGAAAATGGTGTCTAGTGGAAACCTAAGTCCACATTCTGTAAAGGCGACAACAGGAAAGGGCATAAGGTTTCCATCAGGCATGATGGAGTCATCCTCCCCAGCCAACCTCAAGTGAACGTCGGCTGGGATTTCAAATTCTTGCCTGAAGTACTCTAATTTAGTTGGGGTATCTACCTTATGCCTCCACATACCCATGACGCCGGCTTAGGGGGAAGGTGTGTGGTTTGAAAAGGAAGTGCTCTTTGAAGGTTATAGGACCTCGGCAAAACCTAAATGTGAGCTAGGGTAAGAATTTGTGGAGAGTTTAAAAGGAATTCGTTTCAGTTTTTCCTAAAATTTGTGGGTTCTACAAGCAAATCCCAAACCTAGATCTATGGAAACGAAGATTGGAGGCACGAATCTGGAAAAGACACAGAAAACAGAAAACATGAACGTATTTCAGAATCAAAGAACAGTGATGAACTATCAAGAACACTGTGACAAAGTGTGCACAAGGGTGTGAGGCCAAGAACAGTGGCAAAAGTGAACAAATTTGTGAGTAGTGTGTGAATATTCAAGAAGGGATTGGGCAAAAAACAGAATGACGAAGCAAACATACTCAAAACATGTGGTGCAAATCAAGGCCCAGATTAAAAATGATCGAAGACATAAGCAAGTTTGTAAAGTACAACAGAGTTCGCAGTAAAATCAAGAACTGAAAACCAGGAAGAATGGTGGCTTACTAGAAAAGTGAAGCCGAAGTAAAGTTTGCCGGGATTAGACGGTAGCCAGAAGCAAAGAAGTGCAGCAGAAGCCCCGCCGGAGGAGAGAGTGAGGTTGGTCACAGAAAGCTTCGCGAAGAGCGATAATGGCAGATTTGGGAGAAAAAAGTTAGAGAGAGGAAAAGCTTCAGAGACGATGGTGTAAAGTGAAAAGACGGAGAGAGGAAGAGGGTTTTGTCTAAAACACGAAAACGGCGGCAAAAAGACAATTAATGTGTCTAAAACGACATATGCGTCAGGCGGCACACGCGAGGAAAATTCGACTTACAGGCGCGTATCGAGTACGATCCAGTGAGGGGAAGACACATGGCAGAAACGGTTGATTTATTTTGCGTGACAGCTCATACGCGTGATAAAACTCTTGGAGTTCTTGGTTTAATGAAGCAAGTGACCTCGGCTGGACCTGGTCGTGTGAAGCTGACGTATTATGACCTCGGTAAATGGATGATACAACAAGATAGCTGACGTGCTATACGATATAACGATATAGGTTTCATCACCTCAGGATGCCGAGGTAATAGAACCTACGGGGTAGTTGTGGGGATATATTTTCTGAGTAACAACACGTGGCTAAGGTGACGCCGACGTGTCAACTGAGGTGCCACGTGTCCTGGTCGTGACGCCGAGGTGATCTCGGCTAGGCCGAGGTTGTCTCCGAAGATATCGGAACCCGAGATAAGCGGATAAGGGGCAAGAGTCCTAGAATGAGGAAGGACCTCAGCCTAGATAAGGATAAAGCTCTTAGGGAGTTTATCTTTATCTATTGAAGAGTCCAAGATAAGCACTGAGCTAAAGTTCATTGAAGCTAGGCTTCTATTAGGACTAAGATTGGGTTAACTATAAAAGAGAGGCACCCCACGGGTGTAAGGTACGCAATTTATATTCTAAACAGTGAGTTTAGTACTTTATCTATTTTTGAGAGATAACTGACTTGATCATCGGAGTGCCCCGGGTGGACGAACCACCGCCGGAATCTCTTCTTTCTGTTGCAGGTCAATCAGGCGACATCTATTCTGTCAATGCTCTCTAACTGAATACTGAGTTGGCAGTGTGGTCAGAAATTCACTCACACAATTGATTTTTTAGTTAAAATTTTCACTTGCCAAATGAGGCCTAAATAAGGTTATTAATTACATTTTTCTGTCCCCAAGGTTTTAGCAGTATGTCATTTTGGTCTCTAACATTTAAATTGTGTTAATTTGATCTTTAATGTATAAAATTATTTCAATTTACTCTTTAATATTTAAATTATGTCAATATGATCACCAATGTATAAAAGATGGTCTAATTATGTTAACAGACATAATTTAAAGATTTGGAGGCTAAATCTAACTTTATTACCAGACGCAATTTAAACATTGATAGATCAAATTAAAATACTTGTATACATTGGCATCATATTATGCAATTTAAATATTAAGAATCAAAATGATATAAGACTCATAAATACTTTGAAAACAAAAACATAATTAAACCTACTAAATAATATCAAAAAATCAGTGATATAAAAATTTATATCTTTTTTGGCTTGCCACCCAAACAAACAAGATTGCTTCAAAGTCAGATTCATTATCCTATACCACTGCAACCTTGTAAACAAAACAAAGTCACTTCCTCCATTCAATTAAAAAAAAAAACTTCACATGTATAAATATTTTTGAGCAATGTTACATTTATTTAAAATCTTACTAACTTACTAAGAACATACATGTTTAAACATCATTGGGTGTTTAATTGTCATAATATTTTTGACAATCAATCACATTTGGCCTCTTGTATTTTTAGTAAGATTATTAATATATGTAGAATTATTCATATTTTTTTGGGTTTACAAAGGAAGCCAATAAAAAAAAACTTCAAATCTTCACAAATCACTAAATTACCCATCTCCACCAACAATAAGCTGCCAATTTTCTGTGGAAAACAGTCTCATGTTGGACATACCACATTGATGTACACAATGCCCCCCTTGAAAATGTCGCTCAAATGTTTCATTTTTTGCAATACTTCCAATTTCAAAGCTTGTCTCAGCGAAGACACCTATGAAAAAAAGCATATTTATATGTATACAATAAGGTTTTATTATCAAATAATGACAAATATAGAAATACCCTCATAGTGACAACTCATCTGTTTCTGATCTATATAAACTCAGCATACCATGACATGAATATTCACTTTTAGAGAGTGACTTACCCAAAAAAAAAAAATGAATATCTCAGCCCCCCTAATGAATATCTCACCCCCCCTCCCTTCTAACTTGGCAACCAATGATGCAAGCCCAGATTGGATGAACAAGGGGGACAATGCGTGGCAGCTTGTGGCTGCTACACTTGTCGGTCTTCAGAGTGTCCCGGGACTCATACTTTTGTATGGAGGTGCTGTGAAGAAGAAATGGGCTGTGAATTCAGCTTTTATGGCACTCTATGCTTTTGCTTGTGTATTTGTTTGTTGGGTAGGTTGGGGATATCAGATGTCTTTTGGGGAAAAACTCATTCCGTTTTGGGGGAAGGCTAATGTTGCGTTGGACCAAGCGTTTCTCCTTGAACAGGCATCCAGTAACATGTTTCCTAACGCAACAATGGTGTTTTTCCAATGCGTTTTCGCAGCTATTACTCTGATTTTGATCGCCGGAGCCTTGTTGGGGAGGATGAATTTTTATGCCTGGATGCTTTTTGTGCCTCTGTGGCTAACCTTTTCATACACTTTTGGAGCATTTAGCATTTGGTGTCCACAAGGTTTTCTGTATGAGATGGGCATCATTGATTTTTCTGGTGGTTATGTGATCCATTTGTCTTCTGGAGTAGCCGGTTTCACAGCAGCATATTGGGTATGAAAGTGCTTTCACTGATCACTTTTTTCTCCTCATATTTTATTATCAGTTCTTCTACGTGCATAGAATCTGATCAAATGGGTCTCACCTCATGTGAGAGGGTTGTGTCCGGTTTTGTGATAAAATTCCGTGCACTTATAATTTTTCTTTATCATGATAGATCTTTTCTTGTGTATTTCCATATTTTTATCTTCTTTTGAATGTTCCCATACTAACATTTGAAAGAAAAAACTAAGGGGAAGAAACGGTAAAATGAATTATATGGTGTAGATTCAATGTTAGTGTGTGATGTTGGTCACATTCATAATGAATATGGTCCATACATTTTATTTTTTGACAACTTTTCAAGCTCCATAGCATCTCTAATGTTTGAACAAGTACTAATTTGGCCTTGAAATCACTAACCAAAGCAATTTTTGCTTCTAAAAGCAAAATACTTTGTAAATGCCAATGATAATGTTTGAGGTGAAGCACTATTGTGGGCAATAATTCTTCCTTACTATTTGGCATTAACTTATAAAAACTTGCAAAGAAAATTATTTTTTTTTGTCATGAGTTGATTATAGTGTGGAAAGTTCTTGAATTGCAGGTTGGTCCTCGTACAACCAAAGATAGGGAAAGGTTCCCTCCAAACAACATCCTACTTATGATGGCAGGAGCAGGATTGCTATGGATGGGTTGGACTGGGTTCAATGGAGGAGGCCCTAGCGTAGTAAGCACTGACGCCTCATTGGCTGTCTTGAACACACATGTATGTGCCGCGACAAGCATACTGACGTGGATCATCCTCGATGTCATCTTCTTCCAAAAACCCTCAATAATTGGTGCAGTGCAAGGCATGATCACCGGTCTAGTTTGCATCACCCCTGCAGCCGGTACTTTTAGTAACTTGATACTTGACAAATGTGTTCATATTTGCCGCTATAGTAATAATTGGAAAGTGAGTAACAAATATAATTTGTATACATAAAAACACATATATTATGATATATGTATGTGGCATACTTGCAATTTTGAATTACAATGATGGGTGTTTTGGTTATAAATGAAAAGACTATAACGCTCTATTTGTTTTCCGAAGTAAGTAGCAGTTCACTCCAGACTACGATGGATGAACAGTGAGCTTAGCTCACATTTGTTTTGTTTGTGGCCCTCCGAATTGATAGTCCGTTCATATGAGAGGATTGTTAATCTGGATGAAGAGGTGGTATTAGAAAATAGTCCGTCAGCTTAGTGAGTTATCGGTCATCCGCTGGGACGTCTGGCCAGTCAACTGGTCAACTACAACTTTTAAAAAAAAAAAAAATTATACATGTTGGGTATTTTTTTTGAACATTAATGTTTAATGATTTTATATCTTTTGTTAAGTAAAAATCATAATTTTATTTGTTTTATTATTTTATATTTATTTTATATAAAAAATAATTTAACATCCCCACAATAACAACTATTATCAAAACAAACAAAATTTTACTAATTCCCTCATTATCAATCCCTTCCATTATATCTCTGAAAACAAACGAGCCCTAAAAGACTATGTCATTTTGTATATATTTTTTGTACAAAAATCCTACTTATATAGTATTACCCGTAACAAGCCTTTACACTGAACCTATTTAGTGAAATTATTTACAAGCTAAAAGTTAATAATAAAAAACAAAAGCTAAAGACAATGTATCTGCTTCTCTATAATCAGTTTATTTAAGCTATTTTTGTCTCATAAGATATAAGTAGAAGTTAAATCAAACACTTTGCTACAATTTTCAAAACAAAATAAGTTATAAGTAGCTTCGTAAGTTGCACCAAACTGCTGTTATGGCTGCTAGAACCGAAGGCTGCATTTTTTATTTTATTTTATTTTAATATTTTAGTTGCATAGTTAAATGTTTGACATGGTACAAATGAATTTGCATATGTATGATGATTTATGTGAATTTGATTTTAAAAAAAATAAAAATAAATGTTGTTTGCAATTTGATTTAGGTGTTGTACAAGGATGGGCAGCCATACTAATGGGAATTTGCTCGGGATCGATTCCATGGTTCACTATGATGGTTGTCCATAAAAAGTTTGAGCTCCTTCAAAAGGTCGATGATACAATGGCTGTTCTACACACACACGCCATCGCAGGAAGCCTTGGAGGAATCCTCACTGGTCTCTTAGCTGAACCAAGGCTAAATTTTTTGTTCTACAAAGACTATAATAGGTATGTTGGCCTATTCTATGGCTTTGACATGGGAAAGGAAAATATCCACTTAGGGTTTCGACAAATTGGGGTTCAAGTAATTGGTATTCTGTTTATAGTTGTACTTAATGTTGTGAGCACAAGCTTAATATGCCTTCTAGTGAAAGTCATTGTGCCTCTGAGAATGTCTGATGAAGATTTAGAGATTGGTGACGAAGCTGCTCATGGAGAGGAGGCTTATGCTATCTGGGGTCAAGGAGATAGGGTTGAGAATTCAAGGTATTCGACTTACAATGATATCGAAATGCCAGTGAGTAAGAAATCTGCTATAGATGAGAGTAAATGAAACTCCTAATTATAATGAGTGTCTAATGTGTCCTTTGCATCAAAGAGACTTCCATTTCCTTTCATATGTTTTTTTTTTTTTTTTTTTTTTTTGTATTAAAATGAAGTCATTTTGTTTGAAATGACTTGTTCATAAATTTTACAGTTCAGTGCTTGGAAAACATGAATAAACAACTTCTTATGATAGTGGAGAAGCTTCCATTTTGAGATAATAAAAGACTTTAATGTAATTAACTTTGCTTTTGCTAGTTGATATATATATGCATATTTGATCCCAAGTTAATATTTGTCACTCCCTGGATGCCCCTTTCACTTTGCTTTTAATCAAGACACTCTTCTTCCAATGCATTGGCAGACAGTGTGGTTTGAGCAATATATATATATATATATATGTATTTGCATCTTTCATCTGTAAATGTATGCAAGTCCTAAATGTTTTGCTTATGGCAGTACTTCCAATGTGCTTAAGGTATGAATGTTTTTATCAATCCGGGACTCTTAGCATGCTAGTGTATGATTATGTCTGTTAGTGTATAGCTAGTGTATGATTATGTCTGTTAGTGTATAGCTTTAGCTTTATATTTTATAATGTACAATGCATTACACTTTCGGTGGGCATCCAATGCTCAAATTCTCTCTATAAAAGAGAGTGCATTCCCCTTGTAAGAAATATTCAATACAATATTCAATACACAATTCTTTCTTTATACATAAAGTTAATAATATATATGTATTTGCATCTTTCATCTGTAAATGTATGCAAGTCCTAAATGTTTTGCTTATGGCAGTACTTCCAATGTGCTTAAGGTATGAATGTTTTTATCAATCCGGGACTCTTGGAAACCCTAAAATGAATTTTGGCATGAAGGTTTGGGTGGCAATGTATGTTTGGTGATATCATATTAGTGCCAACTCTGACATTTTAAGGCTCAAAGGAGCTTTTGATATGGGGCCTCTCATAAATATATATATTTTTTCGTAGGTATCTAACTGTACTTACAAATTGTTATTTTCATATATAACTACTAACATTTATTTAAATATATAACAAAGTTTACAATAAAAATAAATAATCAAAATTATTCAAGCTCAAGTACTAAATTAAAAGTGAATAAACTGTCCCTTCTTGTATTTGAACTTAAAGAGTGTTAATCATATTCAACTTATTAACTAAATCCTTTTCAATGGATTAAATTGATAGTTCATTAAATATTCTCGTGACATAATTGACCGAATGTATTGTTTAATTAACTTTAAATTTGAGAAGTTTATTTTTTCAAAAATAATTGTAACTAGTATAAATAATCGTTTTTATATGCAATCTATGTATTTGACAAATAACCCTCCATTAATTCAAATAATATTTCATCGTATCAATTGGTATAATTATCTATTAGTTTTAAATAATTCATTACATCAGCCATCTATTAGTTTTGAATCTTCTCCAAAGTTTGTTGGGGTCTTTCAAATTCAAGTGATTTTTTTTTTTTTTTTTTGTGTGTGTTGGGGGGGAGTATAATAGATAATAAAAAATTCAAAGCCTTTTTTCATTTATTTTTTATTTTTTCAATTTTCGAAGGCACAAAACAACTATTTTGCCCAAAATCAATCCTAGTTGGTGGTCAATGATGGGATGGGCAGGGGAGGGAGAAGGGAGGTGCAAGGTAATGGTGGGTAATGGTGGCTCCAAAATTTGTTGTGAAGTTAGAAATTTGAAAATAGTATTTTAGTAGTTTTGTTTTGTTTTGTTTTTTCGTCATTTTTGATGAATTTTTAAATAATATTTGATTGCAGATTGTTTGTTTGAGTGGTTAATTCTAATTTGTGGGCTAATTTGGCTCTAAGGGATTTCACAAAAGCAAGTTTGTAATTATATATCCTCATATCGTGCTAATGATCCGATATCACAAGAAATTTGGCCCGTGCACAAAATCGTGTGAGAAAATAAAAATAAAAATAAAATTGAATGGAATAAAAGAAAGGAAAGAAAATAAAAAGGAAGAAATAATGTGGAATCATTTGAAATAGAACCAAGCGTGTTATTTTTTAAATAAACAATTAATTGAAATTAAATGGTAATTAATTGACTTCAATCGTTAAAAATAAATCAATATTTCTAAATGTATTAAAGTTCGTTTGAGATGTGAGTTAGTTTTTTAATTTTGGAAAAATTATTTAGAAGTCCTATTAGGGAGACTTATGCTACATATGGTCCTACGAAAAAACTTATGTTCCCATAAGTCCTATGTGAAGTTTGTTGACACATTTACCCTCAATATTAGTTATTAATATCATAAATAATGGTAAAACCATATATAGGAAATTGAATGTTACCATAGATCATATCTATATGAATGTGAATTTGAATTTCAAAATACACATTTGCAAAACGTAACGTGACACCTACATAAACGTAACGTAACGTAACATGACTTGACACCTGCATAAACGTAACGTAACGTGACACCTACATAAACGTAACGTAACGTGACACCTATATAAACGTAACGTAACGTGTCACGTTACGTTTCGCAAACTTATTAGGTTTTTGATTTTTTAAATTGAATGTGATCTATGGTAACATTCAATTTCCTATATATGATTTTGCCATTATAGTGTATAATAGTACATTAATACCATTTATTTACAACTCATAGGATCTTGTGAAATACATTCCTATCTAAAATAGGACTTGAAACTCTATAAGAAATTACACAGGACTTAACATAGTATAAGTGTCCGAAATAGGACTTATAAATGTCTCCCTTTAATTTTTTAGCTTTTAGGCTATTTTAGCCTGAGGTTAAAAAGCCTTGTTTGTGATGGACTTTTTAGCTTTTTGACTTTTGTGAGAGAAAAAATAAAATGATTATGGTTGGATGTGATATTTTGTCTTATTGATTTTTTAACTTATTTTATTTTTTTGTGACTATTTTAGCCTTGTAACCTCTTCCCAAACGAGTGCTTGGTACTCATCAAAAGTGTATTAATGACTTTAACAAAAGATTATAATTGGGTAGTGCTACATATAAATACATTTATTATCATATATTTTTAACCTTACACACAAAATCGTAGGTTCACATTAATAATCATAAATTTTACTAATAAATCCTAAATGTTGTACTTATGATCCAACTAGTCCCATTTGTTTTCTAACGATCCATTTGGTCCTTTCGATTATGAAAGGACACAATTGCCATCAGTTGGAAGTTTGGTGTAAGCGTTACAACTGGAATTGGGTAAATGGGTCTGCGTGCATGTGTCACACATTGGTCGAGTACAATAAGGGTGTTTTATACATCGTAGTTATTTGGGTGAGGTTAGTCACGTGACACATTTTGGGTGCCACAAAATATGAGAGCACACTAAGGCTTTTTGTACTGTAGCCTTGAGTGATTTAGTTGGCATATGTCATAGAACTCGCACCAGCTCCATTTCAACAACAAATCGAATTTGAGATCCACGACCCAACCCCCCTTTCTAATGGAAGATTAAGTAACATTTGCAAAATCCTAAATTAGTATGTTTCCTAAATTTGAAAAGTGAATTGGTTGTATATACTGTTCGTGATTCGAGGGGGATGAGAGAGATATACTGAATCATTGAGGTTGTTACATCGACACATTGATACATTTAGTTCATGATGCCCTCACACTTTGAGGATGGAGGCGTGGAAGACGGCGAGACCCAATTACTCTTGTTTCAGTGTTCCTGTTGGTGGCTTGTATCGATGACAGATAAAGGTATGTGCTGTGACCCTCTGTTGCTTTTTGTTTAGTTGATGTATATGGCACAATGACGTACATGGTATGACAATTTCCCCCGTATTGGACGTTGGGGCTTCATTTTTTGAGATTAGGTGTTGTGTGTATTTTTTTAATGTTTCTTGAATATTGTAACTGATTTGGGTTCATTTGTTCTGGATTGTTTGGGTGTGGTCAAGTGTGAGGAGGTATGTGGTTGGGGTTGGGGTTTTGTAGTTCTTAAACTAAAAATGTCTGTGTGTGATGTGTAGTGGTTGACATGTACGTGGTTGTGATGTGTGTGTTTTGTGCATAGATTTTGATGTGTTGGGTGCTACAAATTAAATATGGTGTTGGTGTTGTGAGTTTGATGGGTTATGCATTTTGTTCGTTGGTGTTGGAAGTGTGATGTGTTGCGCATTAGCCTTACAATTTATATTGGAAGCACATACTCATAAAACCAAACACGTGTAGTGTCGTGATGACACATTATGCATTGGTGATGTGTGGGTTTTAGATGTCGAGTGTTAATGCATGTGGGTGCCTGGAATTGAATGTGGGTGCTGGTTATTTTATGTTGTTCGAGTAAATATTGTGTTGCGCATGTATGTGTGGCACGCTTGAGGCAGTTGAAAAGGATGCCGTTTTGGATTATGATTGAGGCAATACACATCAATAATCCGAATCATAACGGATTTAGAAAGTGTAATGAGCTAATGTTTAAAATTATAAGGGTATAATCGTCCACGCCTCACTATCAAACTTGAGAAATAGGATCATATAGAAATAAACCTCTCCATCAGTAGGACTTATCGGATCAACGTGTCAAAAGTGAGATGGATTAGTATAACTGTTTGTGAGATGAGATTTATTAGTAAATATTTCTTAATAAATACACTGCATTTGTTTTTTAATCAAGTGATAAGAAAATTGGTATAATTTTTATTTTTATATAACAATTTTTCATTATACATAAGTACTTAACGATTTTGAGTTTGCAAACATAAGTACAATTCATAGAACTTTGGCCAATACATTTCCAGTATGTGATTGATACATTTCGTTTATTCATAAAAGTGATCATAATTGAATGTTATTTTTTAAAACTACCATTAGTAATTTTCAATTAATAATCTTTCTAATGTACTAATATTATTTCTCCCCAGAAGAAAGCTCAACCCTCTATTTGCTTCCGGCTTTTTTTAATCATTTTTTGTTTATTAGAGTAAAAAAAGTCAAAATCATTTCATTTTAGCTTATTTAGAAGATAATTGAGAAAAAAATTAACTTTTTAAACAAGATTCATATTTGTTTGACAATCATTAAAAAAGTCAAAATTTTATTAACTCTTTTTTAATCTTTAGTGTAATTTAAAAAAAAAATGTATTTTTAAAATTTGTTCAAATCCTTTTAATAAAATAAACTTTTTGTGTGAAAAAATTATTGAAAAATTCACTAAAATAAAAAAAAATATATCAACTAACCTAAACTCTCTTGATAACAAAAAGATAATGCATTATACACAAATTTCCCTTAAAACA